CGTAAGGATGGGACTCTTCTGTGGACTGTATGGGCTCTGTAAGGTACTACGGGTGAGCAAATGAGTAAGAAGGTTGCTGTTTAGTAATTGAATGAGCAGAACTTGAGCAGAACTGAATGAGGATGAGGAAAAGATAAGTATTTTTTAAGGATAAATTAATGCTTCTGGAACTTAATAACATCAGCTATTTGTGTTAGGACCAAAAAAATACTCATCTGCCCATTTAATGGTTTCAGTAACACAAATGAGATGTAAGTATTTAATAATATCCTTTGCATCATTGCTTTTCTAAAATCAGCCAGATGTGCATTACTGCCTGTCTTAGTAACATGTCCACTGTGCTGATGGTGCAGAGGTGTGGTAATCAGGCTCACGTTGGAGACCACAGCTGAAGCTTGCCAAAGGAATGCAGCAAGACGATTGTGTAAATGGGCCACGTACCAATTTATTCAGTTAAAATTCTCCTGCTCTCATGAATACCACTGCAGCATTAATGACCCACAATGCTTCTTTGTACCCTTCCAAAATACAGTCACAAAACAAAACCAAAACCAATTTTTTGGGGGGTGGGAGGGAAAAAGAAGCTAGTTCGGGGTCTCTGTCAATTTCTTACTGTGGTGGTTATGGATTTCGTTCCCTTATACTTTTTTTTTTGTCCCACCAACAAATTGATGATGTGCTTGTCCATTCTGCTTTTTGTGTAAAACACCTGAGGGCAGATGAAATGCTCAGACTCTCAAGCTTTTTTCTTATTGGCAGAAACTAATTAGTGTTCTCAGAAAATATTTTCAGAATTATCTGAGATACATGGTTCAATACATCTTTCTAACTGTGTAACTTTCTGGCATTCAGTGTTTACTATTGGGTTAATCTTTCGTGAATAAAATCATAGTGAGGAATATTTGATAATGTTTTTGGCTCCCTCCCACACCTAACAAATTAATTCTTTTTTATTTTTGCTGTAAGGTAGAAAGCAAACTGCTTTGTTTCTGTCATTGTTCAGGATAACTTGCTCTCACTATTTCATTAAGAAATCATTCAGAGCATCTAGAAGAAGTCTAAGTATTTCTTGTGTGGGTTTATTTAAAAAGAGCACCTTCACTAATAACTACAAGGAAAAGAACATGTTCAGAGCTTAGTGATACTTCGTCATCATTCGATAAATTACAAGACCATTGTTCTCCTCCCCTAGAATGAATGAGGGCATCGTAGATCATTCTTGTGCTGGGAAGTAACCAAATGCCCAAGAACTTCATTTCCTGCAGCAGTCTTTCTCCCAGACATCTACCTTGGGGTGAGCCCAAGCTGCCTGTTGCACTGATTTCATGAGATGTCCAGCTCCTGGACCCAAACAGGCTATCACACATGCATTGGTACACTTCTTTTTTGAAGCATCTCTTTTATGAGAGTTAATTAAAACCTCCAGTACAGTGGTGCTTTATGGTTGAAACCCACTATTATCAATAGCAGAAGAGTTTTGTGTTGTAGTTAATGAACCTTTACAAGCAATTTTATAGCAATTTTGGGTTATTTGCTAACCGACTGGGATGTATTTCTGTACTGCAGGCTTACTAATTTAATCAGAAGTTTCAGTGTAAATACAGGACTTTCAGGTGCCAGAGATCCCACTAAATAATCAGTGCTGCCTTCTGATAACGAGATACGGAAAGTTTTTTAATTTGTCAGTGGGTGGGTTTTTCCTTTTTTTAAGTTTTTGTTTATTTAATCTCCAAACAGTACCATTTATTCTCTTATCATTTTATAACTGATAATGATCTATTCTGTAGCAGTTCATTGTTCCTTGGGAGATTCATGTTTGTCTATCCATGTATCTGTGTAGACACTGCAGAATGAATATCAAGAAAAATGTTACATATTCAAATAAAACTGTGCAATTTTATATTTCTCACACATTTTATAATATTATTTGTCTCTAAATTGCCTAGAATTATGTAATTGAAAACTTTGAATCTTTGGTGAATTTACATGTGAAAGCCAAGCAAACTTCTATGAAAAAACCCAGAATAATTATGCTACCCTTCTGTAGAATTTCTTTGAAGCTGTGAAAGTGTACAGGAAGGGAGGATGGAGCACATTTTTATACTTTGTCCCCTCTTTGATGTCGATAATGCTCTTTTTTCTGTTGTACTTCTTCCTACCCCACAGCCCATTTCCATTCCCAAGTCTTCCTTTCTCTTTTCCTCAGTGGGATGATGGTGTCACTGTCTTGCATTCCTGTTGTTTCTCCCTGTCTATAGCTATCTTAATGACTTGGACCGCATAGCAGATTCCACCTATCTGCCAACTCAGCAAGATGTGCTCAGAGTTCGAGTTCCAACGACGGGGATCATTGAATATCCATTCGACTTACAAAGCGTCATTTTCAGGTAGAAAAAAGTTCTAACATCCATTTGCTTTGTTTCTTTTGTTTCCTTTTACGTTAGTAATACCATCTATAGGATATTGGTTAAAGTGCATAAAAAGCAATTGTTCTATGTTTTTAAAATTTGAGCTTTGTCATTATATTTTCATGTAATTGTCCACATATAATAAGGAGCTGATGGTAGAGATGTCAAAAGGATGAAACACAATTAGGTTTGCCTTTTCTGAAGGTAGTTATTACTGATAGAAAACCTGCAATTCATCTTTTCAATAATATATATATATCAAAGTTTCACTATGAATAACAATCTGAAAATACAATCGTGTAATTCGTGTAAATTACGGAATACAAAGTTACCACTTGTGTAGTTGACTTTCAGAGAGAAATTACTGTCTTTTAGAGAGAAATCACCCTACTTGAGTGCAAGTACAGTTGTTTTAAAAATAACTATGCAATTGCAATTGCAAGTTAGACACCTGTGTTTAGTTACACTGAGACACGGGTTGAAGTGGGAATACACTAAAATTTGAGTTTTAATTTTGGCTATTAAAAATTTTAGTAGATACGTATTGTATTCTATTTGTCCTCTTAAAATGGGGCAGCTTTAAAAAGTTGGGAATATTGACTCTGGTAATTTGGGGGGAAAAAGGCAGACCACGAAGTCTATTCTGTTCACATCTGTTTCTGCTGAATTCGGAGGGCATACACTGCTGAATGATGGCTCATGAGGACTTTGTATCTCAGAAATCTGATGGTTTTGAGACCCACAATAATTTAAATACAGAAAATACATCAGACTTAAAAACAAATATGATTAACTGTCTACTTACAACAGATTCCATTAAATGTCAGTGGAAAAAATCATTAAGAAGAACAAACCAAACTGTTTTAGTTTTCAACTGAATTCTTAAATTTTGTCATTGTGTGTGTGCTTGTGTGTTTATTTGTTAAGATATTCATAGAGTTGTTGTGGATGTTAATTTTGCAGAATGGTGGATGTAGGAGGCCAACGATCAGAAAGAAGAAAATGGATCCATTGCTTTGAAAACGTCACATCTATCATGTTCCTAGTAGCTCTTAGTGAGTATGATCAAGTGCTTGTGGAGTCAGACAATGAGGTAAGTAAGCATCAGCAAAAAACACCAGTTTTAAAGAAAAAATAACTTCACTTGTCCAGTCCCAGGTGTTTTCCAAATACATCTACTAGCAGTAATACACAACTGCACCCAATGGAATGAGAAGCACTACAGGGATCAAGAGGAGAGGAGGGGATCAATCTTCAAATATGGCAAAGCTGATCCGCTCCATGGAGGATTCAAAGAAACCTATCTATTTTGTGTTGAAGGGGAGAATACATTTGAACACAGAGAAATGTTCTTAGTGTAGCTATTTGTGCAGTTAGTGTTATGTAGCAGAGCCACAAAAATAGGCAGTGCAAAGGAAGACAAATTTTATAGAGTCTTTGCTAGAACAGACCCTAAAGTATTAAACTTCATTCCTTTCACTTAAAGCATAGGATGTATATTGTATTTTTATTTCAAAAAATAACAGAAGTAAGAAAGTGGATGAGCTGAGGGCGAAAAGCACACTAGAATCCAGTATTCTGAATGCTGTTTTACAGACTAGGGAGATTATTCAACATTTAGATTTTTTTTGTCTTTCCTGAGGACTATTTTAAGTTATTCGTCAGACTTTTATGAGTTACTCACTGGCACTGTCCTATGCAAGTCTTTTAACACATACTTATAAAAGTTAGGTGAAAAAAAGAAAACATCTGAATGTTCTTCATGGCTGCATACATGTTGATTTCACTGTTTAAGAGGATGGTTGACATAACAAGGTACAACAGGTGTCCCTGGACATTCATGTTTGTATGCTGAACTTTCTTCAGGATTCATTTGTTAATAAAGTCTGAGAGCTCTGAAAGCTTTTACATTTATAGTCTTTCCATAAAAGAAAAATATTGTTACATTAGTTATGTAATCAGCTGTATCATTCAAAGCCGAATTTACAAAAATGATGATGTAATCTGCACCAACTTAATCTCCTGTAATTTTGGAAGCTAGACATGTGTAGATAAAAAGAAAACTCAGTCAGACTTGGCTCATTTCAAGCCAAGCCAGAAATGTCTGGTTCTATCTTTTTCTGTTTGCATTATTCTTTTGTAGCCACAAAGTCAACACAGAAGTATTACGCATTTTAATTATACAAGTCAAAACAAAATATATTGGAAATCACGTAAAGAAAAATTAGTTATGATAGTTTTCAAATGCTATTCTAATTATCCAAAATAAACTTCCAAACTTCCTGATGTTAGGTATTTATCACTGTGTTTTCATACTGTCTTTCTCACAGGGAGAAGTTCTCATAGGAACTGTCTCATAGGGAGAGGTTTACCAGACTCTGGTTCCCTATTGAGTGTATCCTCTTGTAGTTAGGTGACTTGCTCAGACTCTTGCTCTGGTTTGTCAGATAACTTCAGTGTGCAGATCATGACTTAGAGCATCCTTACTGTAGAAGACGGAGCAGTATCTTCCTAGGCTGAATCATTTGGAGTATACAATCTTGCTCTGTGTTCTTGTAAGCTAAAAGGTTTCACATGTTGTGAACTGAATAGAACATCTGACTGAAGATTTCCTGTATGTTTTGGGCTTTCCAATGACTGAAGTGATGCCTAAAGTTGTGATACCTTTTCTGTAACTACTTTTCAACTGTTATGAAAAAGATCACTTTACTCATAAAGCTGTTTTGATTTTTCAAGTTTTCACTTTCAAAACACTTCATGGAGGCAAAAGCTGTAAAACTCCTCATAGTCTTGCAGATGGTTCTTCCACCTCGCTGCTAAACTATTTATGTTTCTCATTAACAACAGTGGAAAACTTCTGAACCTTTTTGTTGTTCAGTTTAAAATATGTTCATAACTTTAATTCATACCAAGTTTTGTTGGTACATCCATACATACATCCATACCCTAGTAGCACTTTCCAGCAGCCTTAGGCCTATGTTACTGTAGCTGGATCCAGATGATCTCAGAGCTAAGCACCCATCTGGACAGCTTAGTTTTGGGTTTCAGCAAGCTGTAGCCTGTCTGCCTATATTTTGTTGGTACACCAGATCACTGCTTTTTTCCCTTCCTTTTCCCTCCCCTGTATCTCTAAACATTGCAGTCCCAGAATGCATGGGAGAAAAATGGGTTTATTTATCCCACATAAAGCAAAGCGTAGTTTGTCTGAATGTGGGTGTGGCAGAAATACGGGAAAAAGTTTTAAATGTGTTGGTTGACACCTTGAATTAAGAAATTTACCTCAAAAAAAAATTTTTGTTCTTTACTGGGGTGTGACAAACTCAGTAGGGAAGACAGTAATTTAACTTGGAGACTTTGGTAATCAGCCAAGAGATACTTTTTCGCTTATCTTTAAATTGTGAAACAGTATTAAAATTTTAGCACCAAAGTGAGAGAGTGCGTGTAAATACCCTACTTTCTTAGTATGTATGCCATCAGTGTGATACTATGATAGCATCTAATCCTTCTTTGATCTGTGTGCCTTTTACTGAAATTAAAAGATCTGACTCGACAACTTGCAGTGTTCTGCTACTCCCTTTGCATTGCTTTCATGGCCTGATTAAACAGTATGGTTTTTGTAAGATGGCCTACTTTCTTTTTCTAATTAGTCCACTGCATGTTATTGCCTGAAGTCTTTTTCCTCCTAGTATGTTTTTACAAAGAAAACTATACTTTTTACTCATCTGTGGCATTCTTTTTAGTTAATACATTTTTTCATTAATCTCATTTTCATGAGTAAACATAAATCTGTAAGAATTATCATTTGCCATTCGGGGTATGTGTGTTTATCATTATGAAACTGGTTTAGAGCACTTAAGACTCTTGATTTGTATTTCAAAATGTAGTGCCTGATAGACTCTCAGTTACAAATCCGTTTCTTCCCTTGTTTAGCTTATTCAAGAGAAATACATGTGGATTATAAATCAGATGAGGCTATACTGAGTTGAGAGGCTTTGCTAGTGTCTCTCAAGGGCTTTTACTCACTGGGTATATGTGGGATTAAGCTGGGAACTGTTTCTGTCTTCGTGCCCTTGGAGGACTTAAGTATTAAAAGTTCTGAGGAATATATTATAACTACTCTGTAAGGGGACATCATACATAGAAAATAAGATGAGTGTTCAGACTGCCTGTTATTCAGACTCCCATGTAGGATGACTCTTAAATGATACATCCATGAAATTGCACTCCCATGACAAAGATCTGCAGCTGAAGAGTTGGGGGCTTCAATCCTGAAGAAAAGCGTGCTTGGCTGCCCAACTGTATTTTGATTCCTCTAACAGGCAATACTCAGAAACAATGTCATCTCTCCTTTCTTAAGTATCTGTCTAGATTGTACATAACTAAGCATCTGATTTTCATGCATAAATACAAAATGAGAAGAGTTGGTAAGGACAGTATATTTAAACATACCTTTCAAAAATTTCAGATGATGTACAGTTTTGAAATGCCTCTCTCTTCTTAAATACATGTAAAAGGAGAGGTAGCTAACTGTTCCAAATTCTGCCCTTAATAAAACGGTACGTCTGTCTAGATTCATTGGTGGAAATGAGGACAAAATTTGATCCAGAGGACATAATATACTAATTACATTAATAGTACTGTAAATTAAGTAAATCGTCCCTCAGTCTGATACGATATGATGTGACGAAAGAGAACATGTAATAAGTTAAATTATCAGATGTTTGACCTTTTCACTTTTTCAGAAAAGTCTGACAGAATTAGAGGTGAGATAAAAAATGAAGGAATCATCTCTCTGGTAAATTAATTTATGATGTATTGTGTCCTCTAGGTCAGGGTTTTGATCTGAATTATACCAGCAGATCTGGAGAAATTTGCAGTTTTATCAAAAAGCACAGTTTAGAACTTTTCCATTTTAAAATCAACTTGTTTTCTTAAATAAAGAATTTTTTCTAGATAAGTATATTAACCCATATTCCAGGATATGCTACATTTAAATATGTATCAGGGGTAGCTCTTCTAAAAACACAAAATTGCACTGAGACCATGTGATAAATGCAAAAATGAGTTCCAGCTTTTTAAGAGAACTAGTAACCACTTGCAGTTTTGGAAGGACTAGAGGCATCACAGTATACCTATCAAATCTGGTTTCATAAAAAAGAGGTTTTCATTATCTTTGCAGAGCTTGTTAAGTACTTGGAAATGGCAAAATAAAGGAAGGTGTTTATTGATGCTTGTACATATTTTTCTTCCACATTGGCGCACTAAAAGTCTTAAGGCATGTATGATTTCATATAGCTTGTATACGTCTATGGCGGTTATGAAAATGTGGGCTTTTTATAGGCAGAGATCTTTCTTTTTCAGTGTTCCCAGAGGAAAAACAGAAAAGACAGGATACAATTTCCTCAGTTCAGCTGAATTCATGGATTAATAGGCTAAGTGAAATTCTGAAATTTTCTAAACTATGAAAAAGCAAATACTGTCTTTCCTGAGGTATCGTCAGAGGCTGCAAAGCTACAGAGGCATTGGACAGCAAAAGTATTCCTTGATAAAAGATAATTTTTAGAAGTAAATCAGTATGAGTATTATGAACATCCATTGCACAAAATAAATTGGGGGGAAAATGCCAGTTTAGATTATTTTTGTCAGAGCTGATACATTTTGGTTTAAGAAAAAATAGAAATACAATTATAAAATGTGAAGTTTTAACAGGATTGGAGATAAACGTTGCTAATATTTACAACTAATATTCCTTCTACTTTGACCTTTGAGTAAGGAATTTCACTAATGCCCAGCATTATGAATACATGTTATGTATCCTATATATGTACAAATATCTTACATATGCATCTCTATGCCTTAAGAAAACAGTGGTTTTTTCATTATTTTACTTGTTAAGCAATTTCTTTTCATTGATGAATGAAACCACATATAAAAGAATCATTGAAGTGTCTCTTCCTTTGTTAAAATAGTAACGTTAATATAACTTTAAAAACTTGTATTTCATAGGTGGTTTATTGGCTGGGCTTTCACTGACCTTGAATAACAAAGCAAATAGAATGAATTTTATTGTTAAGGTCTAATTCATTTATATAT